TAGTAGAAATGCCAGGAGATCCTAGTAGCATCCTTGCTGCTAAGGCATCCAAAAATTGGGAGAAGACATATCCTCATGGAGGTCTGCTCCAAGGGGCTGATTTGAGTGACGCAAGGCATGCAAGCAATGTGACCGCGCATGTACAATTGGTTTGTCAGTGAAGCCTAAAGTTGTGACAGTTGTGACCCTTTTCACTAGATTATGGGATCAGACTGCGGGCAGCCACACATGGCTGAATTCTGGTCACAAGACACACATTGCATACTCAGATTTGTTTTTCACCAGGACTGTTACGGTCACACGCCCATGGCACTGGCGAGTGACTGTGGACATGACAAGCTGTTGGAGGCCAGGGCAGGGAAGGGTGAGCATGAAGAAACGAGTCTTTTTTTGACCCATGAAGCAAGCTGGGTCCACATCCCTGTGGAGGCGATGCAGGAAGCTTTGGCCTCTAAGGGAGAGGATGAGGAACCACTGGCAGATGAGGACAGGGTCTTGACGTGTCTTGTACGATGGGACTGGGTTTCTTAGACTTAGACCGAGATGCTGATTGGAGCTGCAGGAGCCATCTCGCCCAAGTTCCCCAGTGGCCCCTCGTACCTGCCTGAAATTTGCAACAGAACACCCGCATTCAAGACTATGGAAGGAAGAACTTCGTAAGATTCCCACATCCCAAACACGTCCTTTACAAGCTGAGGTCCTGAAGATGAAGAAGAAGAGAAGCCACCGCCGCCACCGCCTGATGCCTCCTAACTTCACTTCAAGGAAGTAGCCTTGCAGTGAACAGTTCTCTCTCCAAGGGAAAAGCGGACGAATTACGACCAGACATACAGTGGTTGAGCGGATGGACCACACGGCTTGAGTGGATGCTTCTTTTCAAAACTTTGATCATGGCAGCACAGCGTGTCTTCAAGCAGAGAGCGGAAGCTTGCCTTGCAAAGAGGATGCACTTCGACTTTGCCAACTTATCTCTATGTGACTTTGAACCTTCATGAACCTTCCAAGTTCCATTTTGCGTCAAGCTTGTGGAAGGGTAGATCATCGTGAAGCTGGGAGCAATTTCCAACAACCTGTGCGACTCTTGGATACCCAGACACCAGAGAAGACGCCTACAGACGAGACGAGTGCCTGGTGTAAATATTTGTTGACAAAAGGCAAATCTGCAGTCGAGAGAAAACAGAGCTTTTTGTGCATTTCATTGTGATTGATTGTCCGGCAGCGGAACCGTGACTATGCCAGATGTAGGTTCTAGCTTCTTGAACCGGAGCTGTTCTCAAGTAGCTCGGTCCGCCATCAAGTAGCTTGGAGCCAAATGGTACGGTACTGTCAAGCATTGCATAAAGAGAACGAGGCCAAAGTAAGGCCCTCCCACCTCGTCATGGATCCTTGACTCCACTCGCTGATGGACTGATTTCGGACCGATGTTTGACCGATTCCTGATTGTTAGCCGCGATATTGCACCGAAATCTTAGCCGCCCGTTTGACCTTGTTAACATGTTTTAAAAGATGTTGTTGTAGTGTGACGCACTCCCTGTCCATGCAATGTAGAGAGCCGACGCCGTGGAAGAGATTCATCATCATCGGGGCAATTGTGGGACACTCACTCGCTGTGAATGCATTAAAAGATGTACAGCAACGAGGGTGTTGTTGTGAGGTGATTGGAACTGCCAAATGAGAGAATGCCCTTTCAATGGTATCCACCCAGGTGCAATGCAGCCTCTCACAATCACCCGGGTGCGCCCCTGGCCTTTTGAGAAGTTTTAACAGATGTCATACTGATTGTGCCAGCCTGGCACAAAGGTTTTGACGAGTGCCCTCGTGCATTTTTTAAACGAGGATTGTAACGTGGACGTTTAAACTCAACCAATGGACAAGAACATCGGCTTAAGGGCTAACAAAATCCAGGGCTCACTTTGTTGAAGCAAGGGACCTGTGGTATCCAGTTCCCTTGGTCAAGATCCTTGGCTACAGCTACGCTGAGAAAGGCATTTAAATGCTGCAAAGCTGGGCTCAATCCGTGCCGATGGCTGCTTCGTTTTGGCGCTCAGGTACTACAGCTATTTGAAGGGCCTCCGCACTTCTTATGGTGTGTGGGATCCCCCATTTTCCCCGAGCATTACTGAGTACCAGGCGAGACATGGGCAACTCCGATAGAATGAACGAAGAAGACCGGCTTCAGACCATTTCAGACCTTGAGAACCCGCAGGTTCTTGAGCCCCGCTCGTAGCTTCTTGTTTCTAGTAGCGATGCCCTTTGCTCCTAGTAGCTCCTAGTAGCTCCTAGTAGCTCCTTGTTCCTAGTAGCGATGCCCTTGTTACTAGTGACATTCTTACAGGCATTTGTGACATTCGGCCAGTGTGTTGTGAGATCCTTCTCAAGAGCTTTGTTGCGGAGCTTACTATCGAAGCAGACATTGCATTCGATGAGTACTTGAGCGCGGATCCCCGATTCAAGCTTCAACGATATATATATATATATTTCATTATATATCAAAAAGTAAGAACTTGTTTTGAATCAAACATGTTTTGCATCAACAAAAGACCTCCATTTTGACAATCAAGCAGTTGTCCGGACAACTACATGAACTATGAACTATATATATATGTTTGCTTCTTTGTGCATCATGACACAGCGGTGGATAATAGAGGTCGCTTGGCTTTCGTGGATGACCTCCCAAGTGTGAGAAATTAGATGAAACTAGCAAGGCAACGCAATATCCAAAGGAAAACAGGTGGAGGCCATCGGTCTTAGGTTGGAGGCCATCGCTACTAGGGCGGAGGCCATCGGTCTTAAGTTGGAGGCCATCGCTAGTAGGGTGGAGGCCTTCCTTAAAGTCTTTTTCTTAAAGTTTTTCATAGTTTTTCCCATTCGTTGGAAACGCTCACAGCGGCAGGATGCGGCACGCATACCATCAAAGCAGACTCTCAGAGCCTGAAAGCGCTGCAAAAAATGACCAGCAAATCGGCCACTCACATGCCCCAAGGGCTCCGAATACGCAGCAAATACTGGCAGGTCAAGCAAGCACTCAGAGCCTCAAAGTGCTGTACCAACAAATCAGCAGCTCAGAGGCCCAAACTGCTGCAAATTCCAGAAGGTCATGAGGCGTTTAGTCTTCGCATGTCACGTGTCATTGTTCAAACGAAAGATACTAGGAGCTTCACCTGTTAACCAGTTTTCAACTAGATCCACAAAAGGGTGCTTCACCAGAAGGCGGAAATAATCACGAACATTGAAAAACAATACCTAAGACATCCTAGGACCCAAAGTCTGTCCACCTGGAAAGGAACTCGCGCCAAAAATGTACTGTATACTCTGTTGTCCACCTCACTTGGAATGCTGGAATGCTGCTACAGTAGAATCGAATGTTGCTTCAGCCCACCACGACAGACATGACATACATGGCAGAACTTGCTTGTCTAATCTTTGTTTTGATGTTTCACCCCATGAGATTGCTATCCATTTGCTGAACATTACCGTTGAGCATGACTGCCCTTGTGAATTCCAATCTGCAATGCCCCAGGCAGTGAATTCTATCCTACCCTCACAGTGTGTTGAGCTTAGAGCTTCGATGACTTACTGTAAGCATTTTGTTGGCGTTCAGCACTTCTTAAGCCGCTAGGTTGGAGGCCATCGCTAGTAGGTTGCCATCGCTATACGGTTTCTTTCTTTTCTTTTGAGCTTAAAGGGCTTAGGGCTTTCGATGACTTAAGCACTTCTGAATTCTGCACCTTTTGTTTTTGGCACAGCGAATGCGTGAGGAATAAAGAGCCTGTGCCGTACAGAGATGCAACTTGACGAAAGGATGCAGTTGTAAGGTTGCAAAGTGGAAGTGCTTTGGCAAGGTTTTCTTGCACAATGTCTTTGCCAGCACTTGACTGTCACAGACATAAATGCAGTTTTGCGGCTGAGGGCCATCCTGCTGTGCACACCATTGAGCTCGGAGGGACCGCTAGTACTTGTTGGTATTGTTTTGAGCCCATCGGTTTTGCCAGGCAGAAGGTGTTCCTGCCAACTCATCAATCACACAAATCTTTGACAACGCCATCTCAAGTTCTGACTCACTAACATGGAAGTGGAAAATGCCCCTTGGAAGACTACTTTCCTTTACACACAGGGGGGTTGCCACTTTCATGTTAGTGAGTTGGAGTATACTTTCACTATTGAAGCTAGTTGCTTTGTGGAAAGTGACAGAGTTGTGAACCGTTTTGTGATAGAGCGACCATTAAACGTTCAATGTGAAACTATTCAAATCTTGCCAGGACTCCCTTGGACACTCTCGTGAAAGAAATCTTGGTGGCAGCACTGGCGATGTTGAGTTTCATAGAAAAGGGGCCAATCAGGCGGTTGGAATCCATCGTTTGCCAGAACACTATGTCCAAACTGGTGCAGTTTGATGGTTTCAGCATGTTTCAGCCGTTTTAAACCAATCACAGCTTTGAGTCGTGCCAGGAGGTTCGACAGCCATCTGAGTTCCATGGGAACTTCGATGCCGCCGCTGATGTCACAAAGTACCACCTGGTGGTCACAAGGTCCGTTGACCATCTCCCTCATCTCCGGGCTTTCTTGTTTAATCTGTTTCTCATCATAGATCATACTGCCATTGCCGCACTTCCACCTCCCACACTGAAAAACATGCGGTCGATGGCCGACAGGGAAGAAGATCTGGCCGCGGCGCTCATGTGGGAGTCCAAGAGTGTAAGATGTTTTGTTCTTTGGGAAGAGGACGATTTTGAAGATCTTGATGCACAGGTTTTCAAAGAGAGTCACCAAGTTGAGCCAGGGAAAGGGAATGGTAGGGGTTTGCAAGACTTGTTTTCCTCGCAGCCATTACAGCCAATAATGTGTTTGGATCGCTGCATGTATTTTAGATTCTAGTTTGAGACCTCACTTTATGAAATAACCAAAACCTCACTTCATGCAACCCTACGCCAATCATTAAAAGGAGGATTTACGGGTTATAGATTGAATTTTAGAACCATAATGATCAAGTCTGGTAGTTATTATGTTTGGCGACATGCACACTGACTGAGCACAATTGGTTTCTGAGTTGCAGATGGTGGCCGTGTGCTGAACTGCGTTCAAGTGCTCTCGATGCAAAAGATACTTGAGCTGAGTGCCACGAGATACCTGTCCCTATAAATGCGTCCAGCATGTGCTTGCTTTCATGGATATATGGAGCGTCACACCAAGTCAACTGGGCAGAGTTTGCTGCTGCATGGTCCATGGTAAAACTTCAACACCTCAGTCACAGAGTCTTAGCAGGAAAAGGAGGAAAGCTTAGCCCAAAGGTGATCACCGTGATTGCTTTTATTTGGTGGCAAGCAGCAGCCAGCAGTGCTTGGCAATGCCGCGCGAGATCATCACATTGCAGGCGCTCAAGGTTTCAGCAAGGTAAGTGAGAGAGAGAGAGATCAATCACTTGCCAACCATGTTTAACACAACTCGACTAAGAACCTTACCAGCCAATGAATACTGTACATTTTCAATGCAAGGGCATTGTGTTCTTGCAGTTGATTTGCCGTGCGGCAGGTGGGGCAATGTGGCAATCAGATTGGCGCAGAGTTCTGGAAACTCTTGTGTGCAGAGCATGGAATCAGCATCTTGCATTCGCACAAATGGTGATGGGAAGGAGAACTGCCTGCAAGAAAAGTCTGGTTTGGCATGATACTTCAAAAAAGCGATGAATGTTCCGCTAAGACACGTCGCCCAGCCTATTCGTTCGCTAGCCACATAATGAATAACATGCATCATTACATGAATACCCATCGAAAGTATGGACCATGCTTCTCATGGCATCGATCTTCTGACACCCTTTGTTTTTGTATATAATTGGATTCGCCATCGTTGGTTCCAGAAAGATCGATCCATTCACTTGGCCTGAGCTAGGGGAGTTGAAGGGAAGCTTGCTTGTGGTGTTGCTAGACGACCAAGCATCCAACGAATGGGTCCACATCCACAAGTCGAGCACCTGTCAACTCAACTCAACATCAATTTTTGCATGTTCTACCCAGGGCTTCTCTACCCCCCTGTGTGGACAAGAATGATGCAGGTGGCATGTACGGTGGATGTATGCTGCTTGGCCAATCCGCCTTAGGCCAGCGAGGCATTCTCGAAGACTTTGCTACTGCGGGAGATGATCGGAAGGCCTGCAGGGTTCTACTGCGGGTGTAATTTGGTGTAGGTTATGTTGAGTGAAAACAGGCCATGATGATTGCAGACAATATATCACACTGATTCACCATGATATGTTGCCAGAATGCTTTTGAGATACTTTCACAATATATGCTGCCTCCTCTGATGACTCTGATGGCTTCGGTTGAAGTTTTGTCGGTTAAAAGGGCCTTGCATCCTGAGATGTGGGACCATCAAGCTTGTGACCCTTCTGGCCTTGAGGCCTCTTTACCAGAATGAATTCCACCGACATATAGGACTCATGACCATCAAATCAGGATGTGTTTTTCTACCAAGCTGACGATGAGCACTACATTCCTAGAGCGTTGCTCCTGGACATGGAACCTAGAGCCACTAAGCCAGCAAAGGGGAGCATTGGGTAAATGAGATGACAAAAGGAAGTGGCATTGATGCAGGATGCAGATTCCCTTGACCTGATCCAGCGGAATTTGCTTTCTGATATTCGAGGTGATCAACGTTATTCAAACCTCTGAATATGCAGAGCTTCTTCTTGGCAAGGAGCCAGCATGTTTTGTCTTCGGTGCGGCAGAAATTCGCATTGACTATTTGGCGTTTGCATCCCTACCACATGAACACTAGCATGGCTAGCTGGACAACAGGCTTAGTCTTTAATACTGTTTCATATCATATCACTGTCATATCACTTTGTGCCCTCACAGAGTTGATCACACAAGGTTGTACAACCCTGAGAACGTGTTTATCTCCAAAGATGGTGGAGGTGCTGGCAACAACTGGGCCAAAGGCAGGCCTTCTTGGATCGAGCTGCTCGAGCTGTTGCTTTCATTTGCTGTACTCGTCGCTGCAGTGACCAAGCACGCCAAAACATTTTTGAGAGAAACATTGTATGTAGAGCTCTATGACCTCATGACCTTTTCAATCCTTGTTTTTAGGTTGGAGGCCATTGCTATTAGGTTGGCTATCGCTACTAGGGTGGAGGCCATCGCTATTGGGCAAGTTCAAGCAAAGTGTAGTGTAGGCTGTAGGCAGCTGCTGAGAATGATCAATCTCCCAACGCCGTGTGAGGCTACAGCATGGCCGAAAAGGTCCAAGAGGACCGCTTAGGTTTCCTGTTCCTTTCACACACTGCTGGCCATACCAGGAGGTCTTTGACATGGTGGACCGGGAGGCTGATGGCAGTGATAGTTTAGTTCGGGCCTCAGCAAGAGGGCATCATGGGACTATGGGACTATGGGACAATAGAGAACATTTTCACAACATGGAACTGATGGGTTGAGAATGACCTCCTTAATGATCGTGGACACATGGTAAAGGCTAGATGTGTATTCCTGACACATTCTTGACATGCGGGTTCCTTGGATTTGATTTCAATTTTTTTCCTGAATGGTTTGGATGTACCACCTTCTTGCAGCTGTGGCCAGTGACTGGTGAAAACATCAACAGGACCCATTGCCAAGAATAGTGCACGGCCGTGCAGATTGAAAGACAAAGTCCCTAAGCCCGCCTAAGCCTCACCTGAGATTCCCTACATTTCTGGTGCTTTCTCATCTTGCACAGGAAGGTTTTGTCCTCATCCACTCTATTGCTGGTGGAACTGGAAGTGGCATGGGATCCTTTTTGCTTGAAGCAATCAATGACCGGTATCCGAAGAAGTTGGTCCAGACACTCGGCAAGACGTGCTAAGAGTGACCAAAGTAGTGGAGGCGAACCTGGAGGAACTCAAATTTCTGTGCAAATTTTAGAGACTTTTTTAAGGCCTGGCCTTACTACTAGGAACAAGAAGCTACTAGGAGCAAAGGGCATCGCTAGTAGGAGCAAGGACGCTACTAAAAACTTTCTTAAGCCCGAGGCCCTGCCGCCCTGCTTAATTAAGTCGACGCCTACTTTTCTTTTTGGAAGGGGGAAGCTAGTTCGCTACTAGGAACAAGTGCCACGCTAGTAGTAACAAGTGCCTTACTAGTAGTAACAAGAAGCTAGTAGAAACAAGTGCCACGCTACTAGGAACAAGTGCCTTACTAGTAGTAACAAGAAGCTACTAGGAACA